AAGGATTTTCGTTCAATGAAAATAATGTTACGTAATATGTGTTTCAAATACACGGTAACCTATGAACTAACTGAAGAGTTCAGTTCATACAATATGAACTAAACACGAAATGTAAAATACAACTCGAATGTGGACATATTAAAGTTGAGGCGACTAAAATCTTTCTGTAAAACAAAAACACTGTGCTGGCGGGTTTGTGTGTAATGTTTCTAAAGATACAACAACTATACACTTGGAATTTGTAGCACACCAGTTCAGAGTTTTGACGAACAAAGACAGAGATGAGAACTGAGCACAATGTATTGAGAATGCAATGAGATGATTAGTGTGTCATGCAACTCTCTACAAAGTCCTATTTATAGGACTTCCAGCCACGTGGGGATGACTTTTCAACTTTGTAACATCCAAGTCTTTAACATCCTACTAATGGTTGTTTTAAATGGGCAATTGAAAGGTCACCTCGCAACTCACTTTTTAGTCCACCTCATAACTCCTGAAGTATTAAAGTGGTGGACAAGTGAAAAGTCATACGTCCAGGTTCAATGTACCTATAAAGATGTCACACGGGTTGGTTCAAAACTCGAGTCTAAAATCAACTCGGTTTGAATTTTATATTGGACTTCAGAATTGTAAATAGATTTCCAATAAAAAGATTATTGGGGCACCCGAGTCGATGAGAACCGACCAGCCGAAGCGTTGCGACATCTCCAACTCTATTTATTATAATAAAGAAATTGATCACATTTATGAGTCCAATGTGGAAATAACTCCTCACCCTTCAAATCTCATAATCATCATTTTACGTGCCCATCTATGACCAACTATAGTAATTTATTTCTCATTCACCGAAAATTAGTTTTGAGAAAAATAAATATACCACGAGTATCTACTCGGAACGTATAATTTTTCTATACAATTTAATTCAACCCGAATTAAATATTTAGCCATCAACAAATCAATTAAAACTAGGCTACACCCAAATTTTATAACTGATTTTTCCCACAGATAAAAATTAAATTATCATGGAGAATTTTATTACATTTTAATACCTATACCATTATAATCATCACTATAAATGAATCAAAGATATGGCTAGGCATGGACCAAAAGCATCCATCAAGAGACGTGGGCGACGAAAT